CTGAAATGTGAGGAAGTGAAAAGATGTTTGGGTGTCATAAGTTTGTTGGTTCTGGAACATTATTTTACACATTCATTGGTAAAACAACCCAGTTTCTTTCCACTTGAAAAAAAAACCTGTCTCATCTGAGGACCAAGTACATTCCATGTTCTCACGTGTTGCTCATATTGTTTCAATCGGAGCATCTTTTTGGCTATGATGTCAATTTCTTCCTGAAAGAGGGTAGCTGCATATACTTCTTTTTGAACCAAAAGCAACTGGAATTTTGTTTTGAGGAGTTTGCCATATCTCCAGATAGCTGGAAATACTGGGGTATTACTAAATTCGGGTTTGTTACCAATACTGTAGAGGGACCGTGCCGTTATATCAAACTAGAAGATAGACCTTGCTCATGGAGATGACTTGACCGTCAGTCTTACCAGAGTCCATCAGTACTAACAACAGCAATCGAGGGGAACATCTATCCCTTGAGTATTTACAAACCAAATCTCAGAGATACATAAACATCACAATAATAAACGTGAACACATTTTGCTCTTGTTTGGTAAAAAGAACTGCATTTTCTCGAATCAGGATGCTTCTTTCCATCAACTGCCCGGAGTTTGGTTTCGGTTCTACTCTTAAGGAACTTGTCCTACCTTAAAGGCCTTCAGAACCTCTTGAGAGTTTCTGGGCTGGGAATAAGGCTTGGGTGTCAGCACAGGCACTGCTTTGGGAGTGACAGTTTTGCCCGGAGACGCACCGCCTGCCGACATGCTGGTATCCAGAACGCTGGCACGAGCAATGGTGGTTTCGACGCTGGCAGTGAACTTGGGTGGAGGAAGCGACTGCTGCCGTAGGTATTTCATGGGGTTGGGGTCGTTCGGGAAGGGGGATAAGTTTGGCTCTGTTGAATGGCTTCTTTCCAGAATTTTTGGCATCTCCAAGCGTTCAAGAACAGCCTCACTGATGGTGAACCTCTCGATGTACTGTTGAAGGATCCCCTCTGCCTCCTCCTGGGACCGAGCGTTCTTATACGCCTCATGCAGCTCTCTCTCTCTCCGCTCTCTAAAGGATGGGGCAGAGGAGGGGAAACAATAATAAAGTCAGTAGTCATGAAAATTGCAAAGGCCGTGGTAGAAACCGAAGGCAGAGCTGAAGAGCTAGCACAGGGAGTATAAATATTGGTGTTAGAGCCTTTGTGATAACCAACATGTTTTAGAAACAGCACATCCAGCTAATACTGTACATTAAAAAACAATAATGGAAAGAACTCACTTTTCTTGAACAATTTCTCTGTAGGTTTTGATGCTTTTCCTTCGTTCACGGGTCCCGTCCTCTCCAGCCAGTAACTTCTCCATTTTTTTCCTTTCTTCCTCTTTCTTGATTAAGTCCTGAGAAGCACTTCTTCTACGACTCTTCCAACGAGCCAGGTCCTGGGGGACAGAGAGAGACGAAATTCTTCTTCAGGCTTGCACATAATTCCATTTCTACTCCTCGGAGTTCGGTGAGCACTGACTATGGGCCCTGGCACTACACTCGGGCGTTCCTACAGAGTCCAGTGTAAGCATGGTCCGAACGGAAACGCTTCAAAGGCAGGAAGCGTCCAGATGCCATCTTCCTGCCCGTAGCAGGGCAGTACATTTATTTCAACGTGGCCAGTGTGAAATATGCAATCATATTTCATGTGAGTTGCTACATTTTAGAGAATTGCCTCATGAGGCAACTGTAAGAAACTCCTTTCTTCCCATTTCTGACCTCTACATTCACGAATAGATATCTTGACAATAAAACGGTAGGGATTAATTTAGTTTCTTCCTGGGAGGGAGTAAAGGCAGAAAACAATTGGCTTTGGAGTCTTACAGATCCGACGACTCTGTGTGTATGAATTCACCTGATCCTTACGAGGACCTCGCCTCTAACCCTACAGGTAGTTACAGCAGGTGATGAGCAGTGAGGACTCTGGGGCCAGACGGATGGGATTGCCGCTGTGGGGAATAACACCAGCTCTCTCTTTTCCGTGCTTTGGAATCTCAGGCACGTTTCTTAGTCTCTCTGTGCCTCAGTTTCCTCATCTCTAGAGGACGGGTGATCACAGCGCCTATGCTCACAAGCTTGCAGGGTTAAATGTGATAAAACACACAAGGTGCGAGGCACATAGTAAGTGCTCGATACATTGCAGACATAATGTGACCACGTTTTCTCAACTTTGGAGAGGTTAAGTTTTTGGCCGGCGGCAGAGGCGAGGTTGCCATGGCGACCTGGGAGCGCCCGTGGGAGCCAAGTGGGATGATCCCCTCTCCCCGCGTTGGCGTCTTGCTCCCAGCGCAGGACCCCGAACCTCCACCGGCCTCGATCCTTCCCGGTGCGAACCCGGCCCCCCGTCACCGCTGCAGTCTGCATCGCCGATTTCGCGTCCGTGCCCTCAGCTCCACCTGCCGTCCCGCCTCCGCACCGTCACCCGCCACCGACCCCGCGGCCCCGGTCCCCGCGTCCCCGGGCTCCTTCCCCTGCCCGGCCCGTCCGAGTCTGCGCGCCGCCCCGCCCCGCGCGGGACTCACGTCCTGCCACCTGTCGTCCTCCTCCCGCAGCTGGCTGTTGATGAGCTGCAGCTGCTCCTGGCGCGCCCTGCTGTGCGGCTGCACCGCGGCCTCCTCCTCGGCCCGCATGTCCGACAGACTCGTGCTCCTGGTGCGGGGAGAGCAGACGAGAGGGACCCGGTCGGCGGCCGCCATTGCTGCGCACGCCGGCCGCGCGGGGGCGCCACCGAGCCGGGAACGCTGCCCCCTTGTGGGCGCCAGACACAGCCGCGGGTTTGCGTCTGTCCCGACCCTGGCGGGGTGCGCTGGCGGAGCTCTGCCGCGCGGGGGCGCTACCGAGCCGGGAACGCTGCCCCCTTGCGGGCGCCAGACACAGCCGCAGGTTCGCGATTGGGCCTGACCCTGTCACGTGGGGGCGCCACCGAGCCGGGAACGCTGCCCCCTTGCGGGCGCCAACACAGCCGCAGGTTCACGGTGGGTCTGACCCGGGCGGGACACGCCGGCGCCCCCACCTGCTCCTGTCGCCGCAGAAGCCGAACGAAGGTGGCGTCTTTGTCTTAATGATGCCACCGAATGGGGTCAACATCACCTTGTATGCAAAGTGCCACAATATGTTTAAGGAAGAGCTAGAAGAGGGTATCGGAAGCGCCGGGCTTTCCCCGTTTGGAAATGAGCGATAAATAAATACGTAAATAAGATGAAGAGGATGGGAAGGTGCGATTTGGGAGGAATCTGGGGAAACAGGGCAGCGTTCCCTGAGCGAAAGCAGGTCGCGGCCAGTGCTTCCTTGTGCAGACAGCGGCTGAAGCGCCTCCTCCCTGAACAGACGTCATTTTTCCATTTTCAAATAAATTATCCCACAGTGTTAAGTTGGGCATCCACTTTTTGTATCTTATTTTCTAAATTTTGCATGCGTTCAACAACCATGAATTGGTGATGTCTATGTGCGATGTGGCTGTTTCTTTTCATTGCTTGTAAAGCTGCCTATAACTGATAGTGCAGTCCAGGGCGTGGGGGGTCAAGAAAATAAGGCATTTTATAACAAGAATAAAGAAGGACATGTATAAATCAGTCTGCACTTTGTGTCCTAATGCGCTCAGAATCATTTTACTTTATTTTTGTCAGGACACCTCTGAATTTACTGTTTTTAAAAGGAAAAGGACAGGGAAAGCAATTTTTTAAGAATCCCCTAGGCTGTGCATATAATTAAGGTATCCTACAGGAGTTTATTAAATGTCCGGCAAGATCATAGGGCCTTTTCGGTGATGCTTACGTAGACCTTTGTTACAGCAAAAGCGGAAGCAGCAATATAAAACAGAAACAGAAACCAAAGCAAGATCCTCCAATTGTTCCCCCCTTTCAAAGCAAGACTAGCTCTGGGATCAAGTAGGTTACAGGATCCAAAAATCAAGAAACGGAGGATCCTTAAAGATTCACTGTTAACTGCTGGGGACAGAAGACAGTGATGGGCCATTTCTGAAGCCAGCTTGACACAAAGAAAAGGAAAAGCCATGCACTTAGATGCCAACGAATTCCAGACATCATCAGTGATGTCCAGCATTGTCACCCCCATGGCCAGGACAGTGAACAGAGACAGCATCGCTGGGTGCAGTGAGGGCCTCAGCAGGCAGCCGTGTGGAAGAAGACGGCCCCAAAGCACTGCCGCCCACCTTCATTTCAATCCACTCACAAGGAATCTGCATCAATGTGTGGGTCCCTCTCCCCTTTCTCCAGATGCTGGATGATTTAAGTCTGCCCGAAGAGAACTAAAACTGGAGACTGTACTTGTAATCTGTCTTCCCTAAGGGTATTCCCATCATCTGACTGCATAGGACTCTCATCTGAGGCTTCCATCAGCATGGATATGACAAGCCCCGGTGGGAAGTTGCCTCAGACATTCTCAGGGGGTACTGCTGATTCTGGCATCTGTGCCTTCTAGAAAAACAAACTGCAGTCTTCAAAACGGGAGAGGGACTGTGACTTTTCATCTATTTTATACTATTTATTAATGTCATTTGAGAAAGATTTAGGAATTGGTCAGGTAGAAAAATCTAACCCATGGGTTTGAAACTTCATGGGTCACAATTCACTTAAGGAGGTCTTCCAGGAAGAGACCCAAATTCATCCCATTCCTCCTCTCACAGTTAAAAAAAAGTCTTGCCTTTAATATATCTAATCCAGTCAGTTCATTTTTTAAGGCAATTCATAATGTTTGCTAAGATCTTAGAAGACATAAACTGCTCTAAGCTGGGACTCTCTTAATAATCACATGGAATAGCTGGTAGATTCTGGGAGAGAAAGGAGGCCCCTTTCTTTGACTTTGCCATAGATAATTTCCAAAGGGCAGAATTTTGGTGCAGGGCACAATAGGTGGCCCTAGAGCCCAGGAAGAAAATGGGATTTGCAAATCCCAGGATTTGGGATTTGCTTATCTCTCTCGGTGGGTGTAGAGAAAACTGGATAGGACTTCAGCATTATTAGTCCCTTCCTCTGTCCTGCTGTGAAGCTCTTCCCACCTCAGCCCAAATGTGTGAAAAGCTGGTTAGTTAAATAAAAAGAGAAACTCCTGTTTGCCCTTTCATGTACCAGGAAGTACAGGTTGAGCATCTAATTTAAAAATCTAAAATCCAAAATGCTCCAAAATCCCAAACCTTCTGAGCACCGACATGACCCCACATTGGAGAATTCCATGGGTGACCTCATGTCATGGGTTGCAGTCAAAATGTTGTTTTATGCACAAAATTATTTAAAATATCGTATAAAATTACCTTCAGGCTATGTGTATAGGTGTATGTGAAACATAAATGAATCTCACGTTTAGACTTGGGTCTCATTCCCAAAGTATCTCACGTATATGCGAATATTCCCAAATCCAAAAAAAGTTCAAAATCTGAATCACTTCTCCTCCTAAGCATCTCGTTTATATGATACTCAACCGGTACTATATTTTCCCAGGGTCCCAAGGTTTTGTGTTTTTTTTTTTTAAATCAAAAAATATCAGCAAACTGGCCAAAAAAGAAATAACAAAAATGCAAGTAATATCTTTATGCCATTTCAAAAAAAAAAAAAAGAAGAAGAAGAAGAAGAAACTGAGAAAGTTGAGAATTGATAATACTAGACAGGAAACAGGCTGGGTCACCGTTAGAAAATGTTCCCAGGTCAGAGGTCGGACTCAGCCTCCCAGATGAAGAAGTGTCTGTCTGGGGGTCGGGTGGGGGATTCTGGAGAAGCCAGGCTTCCAGACAATTAATGTGACCTGGACTAACCTTGTACTTCTCAGCACTTGACGCCTATGTCCCTGGGCTGGTGGGACAAGGGCCCCTGGCTGCAGAGTCCAGGAGTCACTCTTGGTGGTGGTTTGGCATCTCTGAGGGCCAGGCTCAAATTACTGGAGGGGACCTAGAAATCGTTTCTGGGCCAAGTCTAAGGTAAGGGAGTTCAGAATAAAATGGCCTATGGCTCTCCCAAGGGACAGACTTCTTTGGTGGGGAGAGTGTTGGAATGAGCAAGTGAGGAGAAGGGCAAGAAGGTGAAATTAAATCTACAGACACATTCTTGGCTGGCCAGGAGGTAGAAATTTCTCTGTCTGCCTGTGGGGTAGGTCTGCCCGGGATCTATAGTCTCCGTAAAGGGTGCAGTTTTTTTGATTGGGTTCTATTTTAAGAATGTGTCAATTATTAATAAATATAGCCTGTACCAATAATCGCCCTTAAAGATTTTGGAAAAGGGAATAAACTAAAAATATATAAATGTCTATTTAAAAAATAAATTCCTGATAACAACTTTTCATTTTGTTCCTCGCATGGTTTCATGTAAACTGTGTCTACTCTATGCAGGAAATTCGGCACTTTGGATATTCCAAGATAAGAGCTCTGGAAAAGAAGCTCCTTTTACTCTTCTTGGTCCATGGGGCTGCTTTTTGTAAACGTAGAGAAGGACAGAAGGAAGTTCCCATCCTTGCCCCTTTTAAAAAATCATTAAGTTTTCCTATGGGTGAGGTTTCGTGTTCAGGTACAGGCAAAATTCAAAAGCCCTTTAATATAGCTTCCTTTCTTTCACCTTTTAGGGTTTCCCAGAGATCTATTTTACGCAAATTGCACAACAGCTTTGCACTGATGAAGAATAAATCCCGTCTATCATCATGTTTTTGCTCACCAGATCAAAGTAGCGTTTTGCCTATCAATCTGATAAAATCCTCCTTTCAGTGCACGTTAAATATCGCCACTGCAGGTTTTAAAAGTAATAACCACGGCTCAATGTCACAGACTACTTAACTCTGCAGCCAGTCAAGCTCAGGCTGAATTTGGTTTTGAGATATCAACGTTCTGTATGAAAGGCCACTAACCGATTGTAGATCGCTCCTGGGAAACTTGGCTCTGGAGTCTGACCGCTTAGGGCTTCGAGTCCAAACTAAGCTGACATCTTGAACGCAAACAAGGAAAACGTGCAATTTGAAAACACTTAATTTTTTTTTGCCTAATCTCTTTGTCATCAGTGGAATTGATATTTGTGTGTACTACACCCTTATTTAAATTCCTCACTCTGGCTTGAAACTGTGGCTCGGGCAAGGACAGGCAGAAAGCTTGCCGATGATTAGTCCTCGGAGAGCCCCGACTCCCACGAGGCCACGACAGGCTTCTCGCAGAGAGGAGAGGCGGCAGCCTCAGCAAACTACCAATGCTGGAATTAGATGTTAATCATGTTTCTCCGAACACAAATCGCTTAAATCTGAGAAGGCTGTTATTCTGCAAAGAAAACGTTTGCCTTGTGTTGTCAGTTTCAGAATGATCTGCACATGGGAAATCCAGTTTGAAAGTGTTAATGTGGTCACAAGTGAGAGGGTGTGGATTCTTCTCAAATTTGGACGTGAAGTACAGGATGAGGAATGAATCTCCGAGAGGAGTGAAACCAAGAAGAAGGGAGAGGAGGGAGCCCAAGACATGTCTTACATCCTTGACCCCTTGCTATGCCACGGAACTTGAGCGAAACCCCGATGTTTTGGTCTTAAGCATCCCGCAGTTTATATGACTCCCACCTGGGAGGAACTTGGGCTTCTGAATCTATAGTTAGTGGTTTAGGATTTATTTTCTTAGTTTAAAAAGATGTGACTTATGGGAATGGCTACTTCATTGTTAACTCTAAGCCCCAACATATCAAGGATTAATGCAGGATATCCTTTTAATAATTCCGTGGTTCAGAAGGGGTACCGATGTCCAAACCATAACAAGAACAACAGCTTTAACATGCCCAGTCTACGAAAAGCAAATGTTAAGTTCTAAGCAGCAGCTGCATGTTAGAATCATGCTTAAGTTGCTTTTTCATTCATCTTTCCTGCACAGAACATATGTTCTGCATTCCAACTTCGAGCGCTTTGCTGCACGAGTCAGTTAACTATTCAGTTCACTGTTGCATCAGTTGCATTTCAATTAGTGGTAAGTACTGGAAGCATGCAGTTTAGGCTAGTAATTAATGCAATCCTATAAATACAAGACAACTTACTCTGCGTCATCAGACACAGGAGTTCTCGGACCGTATCTATAAGACCAAATACAAAATTAGAGGACTGGCAAGACAGAAAGTTAATGCTGTAACCAAGCTGGAAATGAAAACTGCTGATGAAATACATGTGTGCCAAACCTTTTTTGCTGATCATACTGAAAGAGAAATGTCATTATACAATGAGCAATACCCATTAGCTGCTGAAAATCAAAAGTCTTGATGTTTCTAAAGAACGCAAAACCCAGATGAGAAATTAAAATAATCCCCATGCTACCCACACAGAAAGGATCTGTTTGACATGAACACAAAAAGGCTTAGGTATAACCCACGATGGTTAGAGAAAGCAGCTTAAAAAACAGACAAACATGTATTATAGTCATTCACAAACAGTTAAACTGTTCATGCCTCTGTGTTCAGTAGTAACGGGGTGTGATGGGCACCCAACATACTTACACCCTTACTGACCCTGTCCCTGGTGTGTTAATGCATTTGCACAAATGACATCAAAGAGTGCTTCTGCCGTTCCCTGAAAGCAAACCAGAACTCCAACCAGAACCCCAACGAGTGCCTTCCGCATGCATTTGACAAAAACCACAATTCCTAGAAAACTGGTAGCCTTAATCAAAATCATACTTGGATGATATTCCACAACTTGAAAAACCAAAGTTTTTTCCAAACTTTTATGTTCTTCTGATTATTTGGATCTATAAAGTTGTACCCTCTGTGATAGTCACTTTAAGTCTAAATGTGTCTGATAAAGCAAGGAAAAAGGTCAAATTAGAAAACAATCAGAACACTACAAGGGCATATTTTAAGCACATTTTTAAAAAAGCGGCTCCCGCAAATGATTGTCTCCTTAGCAACGGTGAATTTTAAGGGATGGTTCTTACCTATACTCTGACAGGTTGCTCTTCTCTGCATGCTGATGGTGAACAAAGAATTATTTCATTAAAGAAAATATATCCCTATGAAGCAGAGTCCTATGGATGGTAAAAAGAGTATTTAAAAAAAAAACAAAAAAGAAAATATATCCTGCTTTCAGTTTCCAATAAATTACATTTTGTGGTTGTCAGCAAAAATAACCTGGTCCCACACTCAGTTTCACAACAATTTATAGGAAAAAAGTAATTTCTCAAGATTTCTTCCTGTAATCTTAGAGAAAGTACCCAGAATGCATGGGTGTACGGACACACGCACGCTTCTTTCTTACGATTTCATCTTTCAAGAATAGTCTGTGTTCACTGATAATTATTTAGTTCATAGTGAAGGCAACCATACCAGTGCAAAACCCAAAAATCTCTGTTGAAATGACCAAAAGGAAGAGGAAGATAAAGAAAGGGTTTGTGAATGTTTTTCTTCTGGCAGTAAGACTCATTTTCTGTCTCTCCAGGGGATAGCTTCGGAAGGTGCTACGGTTTACCAGTTTTCCAAAAGCACCACTACGTTGAAGCAGATGATGAGTGGATGCTTCCACATCAAGAGAGAGGACAAGATCAGTATTAATTCTGAAGACTAGATAAATGTTTCCCAGTTAATTAACAGGCCTATGGGAATAGATTTATTCAAATACAGTGTTTTCTAAATTATCTATGGAAGACAGCAGAGCAGTTTTTCCTAAAGGATGGTTAATCAAGAATCTATGAACAGCTGTTATGTGCTTTTGTATCTCTATTTGAATATTTTAATTAACACTTTATTGAAATCTACATAAAGTACACATACTACACATACCTTAATGACTTTTCATGAACTGAACACACCCATAGATTAATACTGAGCGTTTTGTGCTATAGAAGTAGACTCATATAGTGTATATACTCTTGAGTTTGGCTTCTTCAGCACGACATTGTTTGAGAGGTTTAGCTACGTTGTTGCATATAGGATATGTCTGAATTTAAATTGTTTCTGTACAAAATAATTAACAGCATCTGTTACCAACATTTCTGCCAACAAATGTAGATTTACGCCAAAACAGAAGCCCTATGGGGGCAGGGATTTTTCTGTTTGAGTCCCTGGGCAGTGATCAGATGAGGCCCTGGATACTTATTGGGTGATCTGGAAATTGAAAGAAAAGAACAGCACAGTCTCTGAAGAGAACCATCTATCCCTTTACTATGCACTTGTGGATTTAAAGAATTTTCTTTCAGACTAATTTATTAGCTTTAAAAGGGCACCAGCTTAAGCAGAATCGCCTTTGCTGGTAAAGGGAAGGAAATTAGAGCTTCGGCTTCAAGAGGTTTTCCCAGTTATGCTACAGGAAACCAAAAACGTAAAAATAAATTGCCAAAAAAAAAAAAAAGCCACTAACAGATCTTTTTAACGCACAGTAGGTGAGTCTATTGGCTACAGGGGTACAAAGCTGGCCAGACAGATCGTAGTTGGCATAAGCATCCTACCAAAAAAAAAGTCAATTCATAAAGTTTAATATAGAGGACAGGGATATTTAGAAAGATAAAGGGAATATTCTATACACCTATTGATGGCACATATGCAACTTTCAGCGCTAAGAAAGCATTTCGGAATCCATAATTTGCTGGTTATATGTTTGTATATTGTGAACTAGCATTAGCTGAATTCGAAGTGAGAGAGAAAACGGTTTTACTACTGCTCTAAGATTACCCCCCGGCACCCAGCACAGTGTTTTACACGTAGTAATTACTCAATAAACATTTGTTGAAAGGAAACATGAATGACCAGGGGGTGTGCCGGCTCAATCACACAATTACAATACGCCACGTGGCTAATCCGACGGGCTTCCTTGGGCCCAGAGTGGCCATTCATCCCTACTTGAACTACAGAGGACTCTTTCCGAATCACAGATGGAATGACAGACAGAAGGGACAGGGAATTCAGCCGCAGTCTGCTCAAGTAGCTTGCGCCGGAGTGGGGCGGTGGCTGCCACTCAGACAGACCCAGGTTTGAATCTTGGCTCGGTAATTACCAGCACGTGGTAATCTTCCCAATTGCAAAATGCAGATGAAAATTCTCACTCTCAAAGGTCGTGTGAGGAGTTAGGAACAGGAGAGCACCCAGGATGTGTCCAGCGGGCAGCCGCAGGCCTCCCGTCCTCCTCTCCTCCCATTCTCGCTGGCTTTACGGGAGCTCACCGACCAGGACCACCTGGAAAGTGAGTGCTTGTGGAGGACCAGGTTGACCACTCTGTCCTCTGGCACTGACCAGCCCTAACCAGCCCAGGAATCACGTGTAGTGCCCTCACCTAACTTTCCTCCACCTCAGCCTTCCTATTTGTGAAACGGAACGAACATCAGTCCCACCTACCTGTGAGTTCCCAGGAGAAGGTGAGCCAGAGGGAACAGACACACCTTGCAAAGGCTACAGAGTGCTCTACGTTGCAGAGTAAAGCGTGAATATTGATTACCCCTGCTCCCTGGAAATAGTGTTATAATAAGGCTCTACTATATTATGGTTATTATTGAGAAGAATGCAAACATAGGTTAAATCCCGGTGATAAAGACGGCTAGGATGTTGACCTTAAAATGTTGGGATTACTCACCATTCTCCTTGCTCCCTTCTCTGCCCTCTGTCCCCCTCCCATCAAGGTCCTTTGAGAAGCAGAACTCCGAGACTTCCTATTTTGTAGTGAGCTCATAATTGTGCAAAGTGCTCCTCGTTCCTTTGCCCTACATTGATCAGGCAGACTGCACTTTTAACAAAAATATATCACTGTTATTTAATGGCAAGAGAGGCCACAACATATAGGACCTTAAACCAGAACATGAACCCGGGATTATTAGCAAGTCATGCTTGACTCTAAATCAAGTCGGGGCATGGAATAGAAACCCTACCTCTGGAAGGCCAAGAGTGTTTGATAATGTCGAAAAATTAAATTAGATTACAAATTTTATAAGTGGTATTCATCTCGTTTGGACTTGGAATCAGAGTCAAATCAAGGACGTCAGAAAGCAGTTCAACCCCTTACCCTGAAGGCTCCTGAGTGAGCTGGGAAAAAATAAAAGAACCTCCCATTTACTCTGTCCACAAGATGCGCGCCAGAAAGAACCTTTAACGGGTAAATTCACCACTAAACTATTCTTTCCACACCCGCTGACATGCAAGCAAGAAAAACGATTCTTGGCAGACAGGGCCAATTTTAGTCATCCCGTTTCTGCTAGCAACAGCGACAGTGACGTCAATGCACCGTGATGCATTAATGGCACACTCAAAGCACGGCCAAGGCTCAGAAGAGAGAAACAAAGTCACAAGGGCACGAGATAACCTTCTGACCTCTGGTCTTTCACTGTTAGACCTTCGGCATATTCCTTGACATCCTGTTGCTTTGCAAATGGAACTGGAAGGAACCGGTTTGGGCTGGATCCGGTGTGTCTAAGGGACATCCCAGTTCTCCTGGCCATCATATCATCTTTGTGTGAATCACACAACTTTCTGTGGCCTGTCGGTCCACTGCCACTGCAGGCAGGAGCTGCCATCTTCTCTGACCTCTCTTCTGTCCCCGAGGCCTCCCGTTCGGAGGCAAGAGGACGCGCACTAGGGCAATATTCAGTCCAGGGGGTCAAAGGCCACTCACTGCTAAAGATGCTTTCGGTAGCGTCACTCACTGGCATTAACTCAAGACAGAGGAAGCCAGCGTCCACGGAGGCGGCGGCACACACAGAAGCTGAGCAGAAAAATCCTCCTTTTCACTACTGCGAACCTCTGCCATGCAACTGGTACTCACACGGGAATCGGTTTCCCTTTTTGGTTTCCGTGGTTCCCGAGGATGAAATGTGGCCAGTCCCCAGCCGCATGCAAAAGCTAACGTTTCTACGCAGAGCGGCGCCAGCGGCAGAACTCTGACCCCGGGATCGCACGTTACTCCAGCGACCTTACTCCACGCTGCATCACCCGCCGAGCGCGCGCTCTGACTCTAAGCTGTCTTTGGGGGACACAACAGCCACACACAGCGGAGGCAGCACACCCCGGGCACAGGCAAGATGCTCACAGTGGCTGGCTGCTCTCCTCTGATCTTCCTGCCTGTGGCAGCGTCTCAGAATCTCTCGGAGCGCCTTCCTTTTCTT